ACCAAGCAATGAGCACAGTTACATGCTAATTATCACGCACGCTGATTGGCTAATTTTTATGATCAATAAGAGGATAGACTAGGCTTAGCTAAATAATTCCGGAATTTTGGGGGGAATTTTAGACATCAAAAGGAATTTTAGAAAAACTAGGGATTTTTAGAAAAAAAATTGACAAATGCTAGAATAAGAGCAATTGGAACATTCACTCGACATTTTGGCAACATTTCACGGGCAAAAACGTTGACAAAACGTTTATTTTTTTATGTTTTTATTTTTTTGGTATTCCTACCAACCAAGAGAGGGTTCAGTTCGCTCACATTCTACAGCAGTGTCTAGAGCACTATAGAACATTCGTTTGTTTTATCGCTATCAAAAAAACGAAAGTTTATGAGAATTTTCAGGAATTTTAGAGAGTTTTTGAAGAATTTGAGACATTTTGAAAAAGAATTTTGGAGTTTTTTTCGGGAAATTCTGGAAAGAATTTTAGGCCAAATTTCGGGCATTATAAAATTATGATATATGCAAGAAGCGGTTAATTGCCAAACGAATGCCGAACTTCGATGTTCTTGCTTAGGTTAGTTTCGTAGAAGATTCAGTTTCTGTCTATTGAGAAAAATAGCCGACATAGCTCTGATGCAACACTTGCATCCGCTTTGGATTCTCTGCAAAAAGCTCAAGCAGAGGAAAGTGAGTTTCCAAAAGCGGAGACCACTTGCTAGAAATTGTACAGTTTAAAAACTGAGATTTGGATAAGCTTTTAATATTCATACATAGTTTTAAAGTTAAAAAACTAAGAAAACAATTCTGAAAGTCTAGTTTATTAAAAATAAACACATTAATCATAACCATTACAATTTCCTCAAATTTGACTGGTGGATTTACTGCTTTATTTTTCACTCTCTATTGTGTAGGGTTGTAATAGGACAGTTAGTGGGTTCGCTGGTCTAGACCGGCTGAAGTTCATTTGAAGTGCACTTGAGTTCAAATGAACTTGAAAAGATCTTGAAGTGTACTCAGCTTTTTGCTAAGAAATGACGTTCACACTTAAGTTAAAGTGAGCAGTTTTGGCGGGAACCAATCTTCCTCTCTGTGTTTAATTACACGGGAAACTGACCCTTCCCTACATGTGTTTTACGCCTGCGAAGATAAGAGCCGTAGAACTATTGCAAAGTGTAATTTTCCGTTTATTGACAACCGTCTTCTTCAACAGTGCCAAAAAAAAGGATAATAATGCGACCAATGGTTTCATCGAAGTATTCGAAGTAGGGGAAACCTTTTTTGATGTTCTAAAAGCTCTTCTTACCAGTATTTTGAGCTCGTTGCTTCAAGTATTTGTAGTGTTACCGGGATACGTAAAGACGATTATGGTATAGACGAACAGGGAAGCACGTGAGTCGAGGACTTTAGAATGGCGATGCCTTATTCGGTTGTTGTAATCCGGGGGGTTAATCCGTAGCTTCAATACGTATATTTGAACTCTACAATTGGCGACGAGGATAGGCAAGGAAATTTTCCGACATATGCAAAGAAAATATGGCCATGGACATTGAATCTGGAAACATAAAACCCGATTGCACAGGCAATCCGACTAGCGTGGGACCTCGTTGGAGACGATGAGATGGAAACGTTCTTTTGGGCTTTTTCTCGAGGCCAAGGGTATCACAAAGGATACAAAAAAACAAGCGTTTGACTTTTTCATTGCGCTGGACGGGGTGTACAGGACATTTTTGTTACGCTGAGTGACCCTGGACTAGCCCCAAACAGAGAAACGCAGTATGCGAAAGTTGTGAGATTACTGGACGCACGTTTTTGACCACAAGTTAACATACCATTTGAACGACATCAGTTTCGCCAAGCAAAACAGGAGTCCGAGACAGCACACCAGTTTGTGACCAGATTGTTTCAGCTTAGCGAGAATTGCGACTTCGGAACATCCAAGCAAGAACAAATCCGTGATCAGTTAATTGATAAATGTCGGTCACATGGCCTTCGCAAGAAACTACTCGCGCGGCTAACTCACACTTCAGAAGGCTAGAGATATTGATAGGTCCATGGAAGCTGCTGAAAGTCAGACATGGTCGATTGAAGGCGATTCACAGAGCGGTAATGTGAATTACTTAGAGCGGAAATATTTTGATTCGCCTAAACGTGGAGGAGGACGTTGTTGTCGGTATTGACTCGAGGGAAATTTTGAAAGAGATCCAGAGTGCAAGGTAGGACTGGCTACTTGAAGGAAATGTAAAAAAGTGGGGCATTTCGTCAAAGTTTGTAAGACGAAAGAAGAAGATACTAATAGCCACAAGAAAGGAAATATACGCCAAGTCACCAAAGATGATGATTTCGCCTTCACCCTACAGTCTAGTGGAAGAGATATTCCCACCGTAGACATCGAACTTGGAGGTGTTCGACTGGAAGGGGTTCTTGTCGATTCTGGTTCCACTTGCAATGTTATTGACACAGCGACATGGGAGGAGCTTAAGGAGAAGAAAGTGAAATGTGTTTGAAGAAAATCTAGAAAGCTGTACTCCTATTTATCCAATGAGCCACTTACCACTGCTGGTGAGTTTGAAACTGAACCTTGTTACAAAGGTAAACGTTGCCATGTGTGTTGTATTGTTGTGGAAGAGAAAGCAAGGGCAAAACTTAGCAGGGAGACAGCAGAAGAGCTGGCCATACTGAAACTTGAAATTAATGCCATGAAATAAGAAACACTACTTAGAGATTTTCCTGAGTGTTTAAAGGGAGTAGGAAAACTTAAGGGTTTCCAAGCAAAGCTCCACATTGATGAATCAGTTTAACCTGTTGCACAGAAGTTGAGACCCCCACCTTATAGGCTAAGGGACAAAATAGAACAGAAACTCAAGGAACTAGTAGACTGTGATATTATTGAACCAGTTGAAGGTCCTGCTCCGTGGGTGAGCCCGGTCGTGGTGGTTCCCAAACCATCGAGAGACATAAGGAAAGCTAATGAAGCTATTGTAAGGGATCGTCATCCCATACCCACGGTTGATGACATACTCTACCAGCTGAATGGGAGCAAAGTGTTTAGCAAATTGGACCCAAATGGGGATTTCACCAGATTTAGTTGGAGCAACAGTTTAGAGTTATTACCACATTCATAACTCACAAGGGATTGAACAGGTATAAACGCTTGATGTTCGGAATCAGCTCTGCCCCACAGCTTTATCATCACACCATTCGACAAGTGCTCGCCGGCTGTGAGGGTGTCTACAACATCCACGATGACATAATTATACATGGTCGTACAGTTTGCAGAAGACAATTGAGTGTATTTGTCACAAAGGACTAACCCTCAATCCGGAAAAGTGTGTGTTTAAGATGCCACAACTCCCTTCCATGGGATATCTGCTATCAAGGAAAGGTATTGGCCCAACAGAGTCACACGTTGAAGCAGTGGTCCGGGCTAAGGAACCCACAAATGCAGAGAAAGGAAGTGCAGAGTTTCCTAGGATTAGTGAACCTTAGTGCCCGTTTCATCCCTAATGTAGCAAGTATCAAAGAGCCACTCAGAGAATTGGCAAGGAAGGATGTACACCATTCAAGTGGGGCACAGAACAGGAAGTGGCATTTGAAACCCTGAATAGTAACCGGGGACGGACACAAACATTGGCATATTTCGACAGAAATGCAGAAGTAACAAAGCTAATTACAGGTGCAAGCCCGGTAGGCCTTAGGGCGGTGCCTACACAGGTCCAGGAGGGACAGGAGCGTGTAATTGCGTATGCAACTCGTGCCTTAACAGGGGTTGAACAAAGATACTCACAAACAGAAAGAGAGGCACTGGGACTTGTGTGGGGATGCGAGACATTTCATATGTACCTGTATGGAATGGAGTTCACGTTGTTGACAGACCACAAGCCTCTAGAAACTATTTACTCGACTAGCTCCCGTAATTCAGCTCGGATAGAGCGCTGGGTACTTCGACTTCAACCATACAAGTTTCGGGTGCAGTATGAACCAGGTAAACAGAACATTGCCGACTCTCTTTCACGGCTTGTCGATAAGGAAGGGCTGAGTGTTCATGATGATGCTGAGGAATTTATTCGTTTTGTGGCAGAAGCATCAGCGCCAGTAGCGATACCCATCAGAGAAACTGAGGAAAAATCAGCTACCGACCTAGAAATTTCACAACTATGATAATGCTTCGCAACAGGAGACTAGGACAAAGCCCCACTAAAGTACAAACATGTCAGAAATGAACTCTCTTCCCAAGGAAAGTTAGTATTAAGGGGAACGACGTTGCTAATTCCAAGAATACTACGCGAGAGAGTGCTAGACTTAGTGCATCAGGGTCATCAGGGGATGGTAAAAAGCAAGCAAAGACTTCGTACAAAGGTTTGGTGGGCTGGAATTGAAAAGCAAGTGAAAAACCGGTGTAAGACCTGCCATGGCTGCCAACTTGTTGGACTGCCTACACCACCAGAGCCCTTACGGCATACAAAGTTTCCAAGCCAACCCTGGATTGACCTAACCGCAGACTTGATGGGACCGGCCCTACCGTTAGGAGAATATGTACTTGTCTAGGTTGATTATTACAGCCGACATTTCGAAGTGAATATTCTAACGTCCTTGACATCCACTAAAGTCATTGTAAGTTTGGAGAAGATTTTCTGTACCATGGGTTACCGCAGAGGTTAAAAACATTTCAACGGTACACAGTTTGTGTCCGATGAATTTGAGCGTTTCCTGAAAAAGACTGATATAGAGCATTGCACGTCGACCCCGCTCTGGCTTCAGGTAAATAGGGAGATGGAAGGACAGAACAGAAGTTTGCTTAAAGCCCTTAGGATTGCTAAAGCTGAAAAGAAGACTATCTGGACCGAGATGCCAAAGTTCTTAACAGCCTATAGAACGACACCTCACAGCAGTACAGGAGTCACGGCGGCCAAACTCCTGTTCAACAGATCAGAGAAATCAGATCATGAAGATTCCTGAGCTGGGAAACTCGAGATACTCCGACAGTGAGGCAAGAGACTAGGATGAGGAGAGTGAAGCAGAAGAGGGCCGACTATGATGACGAGAAAAGGAGAGCTCGAGATAGTGACCTATAACCTGATGATTTAGTGCTCTTAAAACAGAGGAAAGAGAACAAGCTCTCAACCACGTTTGGCGCACTTCCATATATTAGCAAGAAGCACGGGAACAAGGTTATCATATCGTCACCCGAAACGTGAGGAGAAATGTGGCCGATGTTAAGAAATACTTGACAGGTGACACAACCGGAGATGAACAAGTTGCTGAGGATGACTCCTCCGAGGAAGATAACACCGGAAGGATAACAGAACCCCACGGGAGACCAGTAAGGGAAAGGAGGCCTCCGGAGTACTTAAAAGACTACGGAGTGTACGAATTATGTTAAGTGGAAGAGAATGTACCTGCAATGAACCGGCCTAAAGTACATATACTTGCAAGAAGACAAGCCGTCCAAGTAAAGTGTCATACTGACAAAAGGCTCTGTGAACCATCTACAACCTAAACAATGACTGAAATTGAATAGTCATCTACTGGCACATGGAACCCTAGTACAGAGAAGAGTGCAGAGGAAATAAATATTAATGTTGCTAGCGAGAAATTACAGGCTCTCAAATAACGTCTAGTCTATGTTCCCTACATTTCGCTATTCCAAATTTTTGTTCCCCCCCCCCCCCCCCCCCCCCTTAAAAAAGAAGAAAGAAAAAAAAAAAAAAAAACCTCCCACCACCCCAGAAAAAAAAGAAAAAACCAACGGTAATAACCTTTCTCCAATTTATGTCCCCCCAAGGTTGTAGATAGGTATAAAAATAACAA